TTCGGTAATTGAAGAATATGCAATGTAAACGAACTTGAACATGATTATTATCATCACCCAAATCAATTTCCCAATTTGCATTGTCGGTTATCGGATCCTTAACCGAACCCAAACCCGGTACGAAAAACTAAAAGCTATCTTCTCAGTAACATTTTCTTGAAAACTGATGAGCAAGAAGAAGAAGAATAAAGAAGATCCAAAAGCATGGAGAAGTAGCTGCATTTGCCTTATTTCAGCATCTTCAACGGCTAAAAACGACAAAATAAAAATAATAATAATAAAGAAACCTCGAGAAGAGAGTTTTCAAGAATCACGGAATCAAGAAGAAGCCATGATGATCAAAGATTCAAGAAACAGAATAGAATAAGATTTGGGTATTATAAACTATGAGTTTCTGAACCAAACCCATTAACTAAGATGAAGTTTTTACCTCAGCTATAGAGAGAGAGAGATGAGTGCGTGGAGAGTGTGCCTTGGCTGGAAAGTAAGGGAAGCAGGTGAAGCAAATTTAATACTACTCTTTGTCTCTCTTCTGCTAAAAAACAGGTTTGGTTCTCTCTCTCTCTCTATATATATATGAATGAATCTAATATAATATACAAGTATACAAGAACATCTGTGACTTCCACCATGTGAAGAAGAACCACGTGGAAGCTTTATATGTGTATGTAAAGAGTCTGGTTTGAGTCTATACCATCAAGCATTTATTCTTTGTTGCCTACACTACACCAATCAAACCTCCCATTAATGTGGCTCGGAACCTATAAATTGAATGACGACACAAAAAAAAAAAAAAACCTATAAATTGAAAGAAATCAAATTTTTACTATATTAATCAATGAGTGTAATGTGTATTTATGTATATCTGGTCACTTTGTGATTTTATTTTTTTATTATGAATGATACGAAAATGTAGATTTTGTAAAAAAAAAAAAAATTCGAATAAATATTATCTACAACTATAACTACTTTTTAAATAAATAATATTTTGCAAAACAAGTCTAATTTATTTTTCTCTTTGTGTATCATTTTTTCGTTTTTTTTAAACATTATTGTGCATTATACGAATTTGAATTGGTGATTTAACATAGAAATTAACAATAAAATAAAGGTATTTTTGTCATGTTTCTAGTCGCAGGTTTTATAATCGCATCGTTGATTTACGTGACGATTAAAAATTTTGATCGCAAGTCGATGCGACTGATCGCGGTGTTTACTCACAGGTTCCTGCGATTATCAAACGAACAAAAACTAGTCTCGGTCACAATCGCAAGACACCTGCGACTGCCAAACGAACATCAACAATGTAAACGTTAATACTATTTTAAACTAAGAAATTTTCTATTTACTAAAAATATATGAGGTCATCAGATTGTATTCTTTCAATTGGGATCATGTCTTTACCAAGCAAGATGTTACTTGGATTCAGGTCAAGATGAATAATCTTGAATCGGAAATCTTGGTGAAGGTATAAAAGTCCTCGAGCAATACCAATGGTAATTTCGAATCTCTTTTGTCAGTTTAAAGAAGAGCTTCGGGTTGTGTCTGTGAAAGGATCAAAATTCAAAACCAAATCAATGTACATATTTGAGTAACGTTAACTCTTTGAACTATAGCTTCCAAAAAAAGAGAGGCACTATACTTACCGAAAATGTATGAGTCCAGGCCTAGGTTTTTGAAGTGTTCATATACTAGGATCTTCTCGTTTTCGTCAGAGATAAAACCAATCAGTCGGATGATGTTTATAGTCTGAACTAGCCCTATCAGTCTCACCTCGTTGTCAAAATGTGCGAACCCATTAGGTGTCATTCTGATGAGCCTCTTGTCACCACGTCCTTCGTTTAAAAACAGAATTTAGCCAATTTCAGAGTGTTTTTTACTATGAATGGGTTTCATATAAATTGAATACATGCATGAATATGTTAGATTGGTTTTTGCTCTTGCTAATGCCAATTATGGTGGTGATTTGGATTCTTGCTCCGTAACAAATATGTTCAATAACTTGTAAATATCGTAATCAAGGAGCAATAATAAAACCACAATGAGTATTTAATTTATTGATTTGAGGCGGAGATTAAACTAAAAGCCTGTAAGAGATATTTTTTTATTTTATTTCTTGTTGATGCTGAGGATTTTGTCCCTAAGAAGCCTCCTCATGATTTTACCAGAGAGAGATTTGGGAATAGAGTCCACAAAATGGACAGCTCTGACCTTCTTGTAATGAGCCACATTTGCTGCAACAAAGTTGAGAATGTCTTCTTCCTTCTCTGTAGCTTTCGGGTTTATCACCACGCAAGCCGCCGGGATCTCCCCGGCTTCCTCGTCCGGTAACCTTAATATTTCATAATTGATTAGTTTTTCATGTGTTATATCTGAAAACGTTAGGTTTAAGAAATCTAAAAATACTCACGGCACGACGGCAACGTCTTCAACGGATGGATGAGTGAGTAGTATGGCTTCAAGCTCGGCTGGAGCAACCTACCCGAAAATATGAAATCAAAACTTTGAAAAACCAATATGAGCCAAAGAAAACATTAATTCTCCAAAAACAACTTTTACCTGAAAACCTTTGTATTTAATAAGTTCTTTGATACGATCGACGATGAAGATATCTCCATCATCATCAATGTAACCTATATCTCCTGTATGAAGCCAACCTTGTTCATCAATTGTCTTCTCAGTCTCTTCCTTGTTCATGAAGTAACCTTGCATTACACATTGGCTCCTCACACAGAGCTCACCGGAAGTGTTCTTTGGGAGTGACCGGCCTGTGTCAGGATCAATGAACTTCACCTCAAGATTCGGAAGTATGAATCCGACCGAGTTCCGTTTCGCGATCCCTTGTCCTTTCTCTGGATCTCCGTGAGTTAACGTTATGCAACTATGCTCCGTTAATCCATAAGCCTAATCAATATACAATTGATAAGTTAATAACTAACATATACAAGTCTTATTAGGTAGTCTTGTTATGCTTACCTCTTGGACTTGGACCTTAGGAAACTTGGCTTCGAAGGCAGTGAGAAGCTCAGGAGCTAAGGGAGCAGCAGCGGTCATAACAGATTGAAGTTTAAGCTTGGAAAGATCAAACTCATCAACGATCGGGTTCTTAACAAGGTTCAATATAATCGGCGGAACAATAGGAGCAAACGAAACCTCATGCACGATCAAAGCATTCAAGAAAATCCTTAAATCGTACCGACTCATAGCAACGACTTTGCCTTTGTTCTTCATCGTAGCGCAACATATCCCAACGATACCGTAAATGTGAAAGAATGGGATCAAACCAAGCGTCACGATCTGACCGATCATTTCAGGCCTGACACTGAAGAGAGTGGAGCAAAGATTGGCTATGAGATTGCGATGCGTGAGCATCACTCCTTTTTGCAATCCTGTTGTGCCTGAAGAGAATGGAAGTGCACAGAGATCTGTCTGAAGAATCTCTTCTTTGTCGTTATCTCCGGATTTGTCTCCAGCTTCTAGAAGATCTTTCCAGTTTACTGCTCCTTCGATCTTCTCTTCACCTAACACTATCACCGGTAAACCTAATGTTTTCACCTGTCCAAATTAATATATAAGTGCAAGTACATGCATGCATGTTACCGAAACTATATATAATAACTGAAGAAATTGGAAATTATTATACATGAACAACGTAATTTAAGCTGATTAGAGGAATAATATATTTATATCCAAATGATTTATTAGAATGATGATTTGTCTACTTATAATTGTATATGGTTATTATTCAAAATCAAATCATATTAACCGAAATCCAAATCAGTATAAATAATTCGGGTTTGGTTTTTGGTTTATTTTAATCTGGTTTCTAGTCTATACCATATGGATTACAATAGCAAGATTACAATTATATTCATGTTTAGTTACCTTTTCATAATTAGTAGCATCAGTGATGATTCCTTTGGCACCGGAAGATTCAACTTGCTTCTTGATCTCGGAGACAAGAGCCGTAGGATTAGCGCCGGAGAAAACTCCACCGGCAGACATAATACCAAGGGCAATAATCCCATACTCAGCGACGTTTGGTAGAACCACAACCATTACTTGACCTTTCCTTAGTCCAAGAGAGGTCAGGGCTTTGGCAAGCCTCTTCGTGTCCCTCACTACATCACCGTACGTCACCGCTTTTCCGGTCACTGCCTCTACAAACGCCACATTCTCTGTGTACTCTTCAACTCCTTGGAGCACAAATTCAGGCTTTTTGTAATATATAAGAAAATCCATTAGTATATATGAATATGAATGTAACAATAGTATAAGTATGGAATGCACAAATATATAGAAAAGTGGATACCAGTGTAAGCTTTTCAGGAATGGGCACAGATGGATATAGACTGCGGAAAATGTATTCATTGTCTTCTTGGGTTGTACACTCCATTGTTTAACGATTTTGGATTTGGTTTTATGTGTTACGTAAGAAAAGATTGAATATAAATAGCTAGAAGATCAAAAAGCTTCTTGTTCATCATGTCATGTGTGTGCTAACCAATATTGGTAACTTAATATAAGAGAGGATGATAGTCTTTGACTTTATTGTAGGTAGAGTTTTGTTGAGTCATTGAAATGATGTGAAACTTATCTAATCTGTTCGTAAAATATACATTAAATGAGTTACTTTTAAAAGGTCATACTCGTTATGATCATAACTTAAATAAAGATCCATTTGTGTCCATTTCAAGAATCGTAAACTTGTCTCTCATGAATAACATATTATTAAAACTTGCTTAGCAAGAAACAAACATGTGTATGTACAACAACAACGTATCCTTAGAATATTACAATCTTTAAGTTTATTATATACAAAATATTACTTTTGAGTTTTGGAAGTTTTACAATAACTTGACACAACAGACTTATCCACTCATTGGTCTCAGCAGAATTCATGGTATTTTCCCGGAAAGTTACTCTTAATTCGATTTTTTCCTGGAAAGTTACTCTTTTATGGATATAGACAGAACCCAAATGAAGATGTTTAAACATTATAATCGACATTAATGCTCTTTTTCTTCTTGTGATTTTTCAACAATCCTCCAAACTCCTCTTCTTATGTTTTTTTCCTCTGTTTGATTATCTTCTTGCTTATCATCGATAGTTGTCGCTCTGTTTATGAAGAAACCGAAGTTTTCTATGTTTTGTACACTTTTGAAGAAGACAGTATGCGTGATGGTGAAATCATAGACAAGAACAGAGAATGTTATAATCTCACAAGCTATTACTATGATGATGATGATTGGTTTAGTTATTATGGTTGTTATCATGAAGTTGATAACGATGGTTGTATATGGAATGATGATGAAGATTATAGCCAATGGAATCAAGATGGTGGTGATGATGGTATTGAAAACCATGATGATGATCATCATTATGCCCATGGTGGTGATGATGATGAAACCTTGACGAGCAGGATTGAAGATTACATTGCAAACGTTTACAATGGATGGAGAGAAGAGAGACGAACAGAGAAACTGTTTGTCTGATCTATTCAAAACTCTGTTTTGTCTCTCTCTGTACATACGAATAAATTATTGTGGTATAGTTCACAAAATTACGTGTATAGCAACCCAAAACATCCGATGGATACAGAAGAAGAAATCAAATCACAACCCAAAACGTTCACCACAACTTCAACATCTAAAGTTCATCTATTGGCAGGTTAACAGAAAGCTAATCAAACATAATCACGAACACAATGACTGCATCGAGAAGTAATAACTAGTAAAAGAAGAGGCTTACTCACTTCAGGAATAGTTTAAGAAAGCATTTCCAGAAAGCTTGTGTCCAATCTCCCATCATGCAACATATTAGTGACCAAGCCAAAAGTTGAAGCATCTCCAACAAACCCACAACTCCGCATTTCTCTGATGAGTTCAGCTGATGCTCCTTTGTCACCATCTATAAGGTGTGCCCTGATCAGCGTATTATATGTCCTGCTATTTGGAAGAGGACCATCTTCTTTCATTTTTCTAAGCAAGACATCAGCTTCCTGTAATAGGCGTTTACTAGACAAGCCTGAGATTAATGTATTGTAGGTTATAACATCAGGCTTCACTCCTTTAAGGCGAAGGCTACAAAATAGATCTCGCCCATCTTCCACCTTCCCAGCCTTGCACATCCCTTCAATCATAATATTATATGTGACGATATCAAGTTCTGTTCCACTCTTTTGCATATATTCAAATACCACCAATGCCTTCTCTAGCTTCCCATTATTACAAAGTCCATCTAACAAAATGTTGTATGTCATGATACTGGGAGCCACACCATGAGATTCCATCTCTTTGTATACTTTTTGGGCATTATCACAATCTCTAGCTTGAAAAAACCCTTGGATAAGAGTGGTGTAAGTGATTGTGTTTCCAACCAATCCTTTTTGAGACATCTCGCGGAAGAGTTCTACACCTTCCTCTACCCTTTTACACTTGCAAAATCCCTTTATAAGCGTACTATAAGTCACTACATCTGGGATACAGTCCTTGCTAACCATGAACTCAGATAGCTGTTTGGCCTCATCTAGGCGATCATGCGTACAAAACCCATAGATCAAGGAATTGTAAGTGAAAATATTAGGATATATAGACCTTTTGATCATCTCCTCGTACAATTTTTCAGCCTCTATAAGCTTCCCCTCCTTCACAAACGCATCGATCAAAGCATTGAAAGTGACTACGTTGGGGACGATTTTCTTCTCGATCATATCACTAAGTAAGCCAGAGGCATCACTCCATCTGCCGTAATTACAAAGGCAACTTATGAGGGAGTTGTAGGTAACAACATCGGCTCTAACTCCTTTGATCTCCATTTGGTTGAATAGATTGAGTGCATCATCCACTTGTCTGTATTTGCAAAGACCATCAATGACTGTGTTGTAGATCACAACATCAGCCTCTATTTTCCCTGCTTCCATCTTCTTGAGCAGATTTAAAGCCAAATCAATATCACCACTCTTACAGATTCCATTAATTACCACACCATAAGTAACTAAACTTGGTTGACAACCTTTTACAACCATCCGTTCAACTAAAGCCACAGACTCTGAAGCTTTGTTGTGGAGAAAAAGTCCATGAATCAAAGTTGTAAATGTAAAGGGATCAGGTTGATATCCCATTTCCACCATTTGATCAACTAAAGCTACAGCCTCGGATATCCTCTTACCGTGACAGTACCCGTTGAGCAGCGAGTTAAGCGTGACTATATTAGGCTCATAGCCGAGTTTCATCATCTTGCCAAGAACAGCTAACGCAAGAGAGACTTGAGAGGAGCGGCAAAAACAGTTAATCAAAATACTGTAAGTATAGAGATCATGACGGATTCCCAAGTTTTGCATCTTCTCCCCCAAGGAGATGACAACATCAAACTTCTTCATCTTAGCAATCGCACTCAAGAGTTTACTGAAATCAAAAATTGAAGGTAAAGGACGAGACTTTACCATATCACTAAACAGATCAACAACATCTTCTAACTTCAAATCCCGTAACATATTTGTACTCAATATATCTTTGTAGCCATAACTCGCACCGGAGAAAGCTCGTCCCCAGAAACTCAGAAGATTCCGGTGAACAAATCTCTTCGCTGTCAATGCAATCATCTTCTCCACTTTTCCACTGACAGAAAAAAATGGTTTTGGAGGACTCAGAACAAACTCCGGCCACCGGAAAATTCAAACTTTGTCCAGAAATTACAGACAGATTATCTTAAAACTCAATCAATAAGACAAATCCTCAAAGCCAAACAAATCTAAAAAGAGAATAATACATCAAGAGAGGCTGTTAAAGGGAGAACCTTTGGTCCTCTCGCCGAAGGAAAGAACCCAAGACGTCAAGACCTGCAACATCTGAAACCGGTTCACTGTTGGTTTGAATTTAAAACCGGTTTACTATGGGTTCAACTATAAATTGGTGTCTCTACTCTGTACTCCTGAAACCGGTTTGCGTTTATTTTCTTATTACCGGTTTTGTCTCATCTTTCACACTCTGTATTTGTCTCTACATCTTTCTACACTCTGTATTAAGGAGCGTCGTCTGTAAATGTATGATAATCAGGTGATTAATCGTTGTTTGACAAGAAACAAACCATTTCTGCAGAGTGAGTTAAAAACTGTCCCACTACAAAATCTCTGTCGTTCATGATCACAAATTGTTTCCATGATAAGTTTTGTCATTTCTTGTAAAATTTGACCTCACAGCAGTGATCAAACATAGTACCAGTCTCAAGATCCAAAACAGATTTTTATTGATGCATATTAGTGACCAAGCCAATGATTGAAGAAGCATCTCCAGCAAACCCTCAAATCTGTGATGAGTTCAGCTGATGCAGCTTTGTCACCATCGCTAAGGCGTGCCCTGATCATTGTATTATAAGTACCACTATCTGGAAGAGGCCCATCTTCTTTCATTTTTCCGAACAAGGCATATGCTTCCTGCTTTAAACTTTTGCTACATAATCCTGAAATCATTGTAGTGTACTAGGTTACAACATTACAATAGACTGCAGAATATTACAATTTAATGCATTGTCTCCCTAGTACCTTCATTACATCCATTTTTCATCTTAGACGAAAGACAAAACTAAGAAGAACTTGCCAATGAAAGGAAAATCTCATGTTAAATGGAATCCACAATCAACAACAGTGTAACAACACATTTTTAAGAAGAACTTGCCTATGAAAGGCAACTCTCAAAGGTGACAATGCACATTTTTAAGCGTAGACATTTATTTTTTCACCTCATTAAAGAAGAAAAAACTTTCGTATATCATATATATATATATCAATACACTTTAACCGTCAACACTCAATAGAGAAGCATGCATGTCCTATCAACTTGCTCACTAAACCAGCAAATCCTCTTTGATCTCATTATGAAGATCCAAAACGACATTTAGTCATTTAGTTAACTGAAAATATCAGAATTTACTGACACTGAATAAGCTCTAGTTGACATTACGATGCCAAATATGAGGAGAACTTTGGGAAGCAGAGGCATGGTGAAAATATATATGAAATCCTCCCTCGAGCCACAAACATCTTTTCTGAAATTTTGAGATCTTCTTGAAGGTTGTTTGGATCTACTCTTGTTTGCAACCTAACCGGGAAATAACGAAGAATAGCATCAGTCATGTACATGAAGCTAGAAACAACAACAACCGAATATACACATACTGTATCTATGTCCAAATAAGGTCTGCACTGAGAAGAAGTAATCAATAGAAAAGTAAAATAAAAATATGATTCACCTCAAAGATGTCTTTAAGAAAGCATATCGAGAAAGCTTGTGTCCAATCTCCCATCATGCAACATATTAGTGACCAAGCCAAAAGTTGAAGCATCTCCAGCAAACCCACAACCCCGCATTTCTCTGATGAGTTCTGCTGATACTACTTTGTCACCATCTCTAAGATATGCCCTAATAAGCGTATTATAGGTACGGTCATTTGGCAAATGCCCATCTTCTTTCATTTTCCTGAACAAGACATCAGCTTCATCCTTTAAACCTTTTCTACATAATCCTGAGATCATTGTACTGTAGATTACAACATTAGGCTTCACTCCTTTAAGGCTGAGACTACAAAATAATTTCCACGCATCTTCTACCTTCTTAGCGTTGCACATCCCTTCAATCATAATATTATATGTGCATATATCGAGTTCGATTGTACTCTTTTGCATATACTCGAAAACCACCAATGCTTCCTCTAACTTCCCATTTTTGCAAAGTCCATCTAACAAAATGTTGTATGTCATGATATCAGGAGGTACACCATCAGAAACCATCTGTTTGAAAACTTCTTGGGCCCTAACACAATCTCCAGCTTGAAAAAACCCTTGGACAAGAGTGGTGTAAGTGATTGCGTCTCCAACCAATCCTCTTTGAGACATTTCACGGAAGAGTCCCATACCCTCTTCTACTCTCTTAGACTTACAGAACCCCTTTATGAGAGTATTATATGTCACTACATTTGGAAAACAACCCTTGCGAACCATCAACTCAAACATCTGTTTGGCCTCGTCTAGGCGATCGTGCATACAAAACCCATTGATCAAAGAACTGTACGTGAAAACATCAGGATCTATAGACCTTTGAATCATATCCACATACAATGTCTCAGCCTCTAGAAGCTTCCCCTCCTTCACAAATGCATCGATCAATGCGCTGAAAGTAACTACATTGGGGTTGATTTTCCTCTCAATCATATCACTAAGTAGTCGAGAGGCATCACTCCATCGTCCGTAATTACAAAAGCAACTTATGAGGGAGTTGTAGGTAACAACATTTGGCTTAACTCCTTTGATCTCCATTTCATTGAATAGGTTGAGTGCATCATCCACCTGTCTGTGTTTACAGAGACCATCAATGACTGTGTTGTAGATTACTATATCTATATCTATCTTTCTCCATCTTCTTGAGAAGGTCTAAAGCTAAATCAGTATCACCTCTCTTACATAATCCATTTACAACCGCACCATAAGTAACCAGATCTGGCTGACAGCCATTCGCAACCATTCGGTCAACTAAAGCCACTACTTCTGAAGCTCTGTTGTGGAGAAAAAGTCCATGAATCAAAGTTGTAAATGTAACGGGATCAGGTTGATATCCCATTTCCACCATTTGATCAACTAAACCTAAGGCATCAGATATCCTCTTACCGTGACAGTACCCATTGAGCAACGAGTTAAGCGTGACAATATCGGGTTCATAGCCGAGTTTCATCATCTTCCCAAGAAGAGCTAAAGCAAGAGAGACTTGAGAGGAGCGGCAAAAACAGTTAATCAAAATACTGTAAGTATAAAGATCATAAGCGATTCCCAAGTTTTGCATCTGCTGCCCCAAGGAGATGACAACACAATGCTTCTTCATCTTAGCAATGGAACTCAACAATTTATTAAAATCAATGACTGAAGGGCGTGGACGAGACTTGACCATAACACTGAACAGATCAACAGCATCATCAAACTTTATATTACCTAGCCCAGTTCTCAATTTCGCTCTGTAATCATAACTACTGCTCTTACCTGAGAAAGCTCGTGTCCGGCAAAGGGAAAACGAAGGGGAAACAGTTGCGACATCACCCCTCCACAGAAAGCTCCGATGAACAAATCTCTTAGACGATATCTTCTTTGCGAGCATTCTCTCGATTTGGCTTTCTCAGTGTCTCTGTAAAGTTCAACAGACAAAAACAAAGCACTGAGACTGTAGGAGAAAGACAAAGAGAGAATACTGAAACCGGTTTAGTTATTTTATGGGTTTATTTGGGGATTACCGGCCGGTTTGCTTTTTCAATTTATCATTTTGCAAAGTTTTGTTGTGTTATCAAAATAAACCAATTCGGTTTGTCAGAACAATCTTTATCTCAATCCTGCACACTAATCGTTTACAAACATTGTCTTTTTCATCAGAGACTTCCCACAAATCCTTGTTGATCTCTCTCTCTCACTATATTAAGATCCCAAGAAACCCGAAAACCGCGAAAAAGAAAACCCGCTCAGTTCGCCTTTGCGTCGTAAGAGTTTTGTTCCCTGAACGTAATGACGGCACTATGGATCATCTCCTCGGCATGTGGTTTCACAAACATACAAGTAGTGTCTAGTTTCAGTACTTGAATTATAAACTTCTGTGAAGGAGGCAACGAATTGTTCAAGTGTGCAATGAACTGCGCCATGGGAACATCGCTGCAAGCCATAAATAAAAACATCAAGGATTTGCCATCAACTCAAAGATTAAAAAAGATGTGATTTCGTTAAGACTATATATCAACAAGAAAGGTAATGTACTACCATGAGATGAAGACTCCTTTAATTGAGTTAACCATTGAATCTTGTAAGAACCTAACAAGAGCAAATTCAAGAACATAACAAATCTTTTGAGTCACCAAAACAAAATTTAGCCATTGGAATCAAATAAAAAAAAACTGAAACATCAAACTAACAATGGAAGCTACAATTAAAGCACAGAAGAAACTGAAACATGACCAAAAAAACTGCATTTATCAACTCAGAACAATGCTCAAAACCAAAATCTACAAATTCAGCAATGGGAATCAACTCAAAAGCTTGGTTAACAACAATTTACACTAATTAACATTGTGCTTAATCCTAATTTTTGATTAACTCTGTTCTGACTCTATGATCCAAACCCTAATGCTCTATACTCGTCTTAATCCACTTCACGAGACAACAAACCCCAAACGAGTTATAAGATTCAGCTCAGAGTACAAAATCTTTGCAAATTACATTATCTTCACCCACAAATCCACACGAAACTCAGAAAAATTCAAAAGCGTGATCAAGAGATGATTTGGGTTTTAGGGAGAGATTCAGAATCTAACGAAGATCTTCACAATTTCATACAAATTTCGGATGCGGAGGAATCAGAATCTAGAGAGAAGAGCTCACCACGATGATAAAGAGAGAGAGAGAGAGAGAGAGAGAGAGAGAGAGAGAGAGAGAAAAGAATCCTTGTGTTGTCACCACAATCGAAGAATTTACTTAAATACTTAAAAAACCCCTAATAAAGACTAATTTTGCAGCTAAAAATAAAAGTAAAACCTTCTGAATGAATTAGCGGGTTCCGAGATAGTACACCACAAGATCCAACAATCTAATGACTGGACTAATAAATCTGGTTTACAGAGAAATCTCTAATGCCCCAAAAACCAGTTACTAACATACAAAACCTTCCTTCTCATGTCACACCGCTGTATCTTCAAGCTCAGTGTCAAGTAGCAAGAGAGAGGGGGTTTGATCAAAGTGAACCGTTTTGTCAACTGTCACAGCGATGTTTCTTTAAGCACGGTTTCAGTCCTCGTAATCGTCAAGTGTTGAATAGATCAACCTGAAACCAAGTTTTCAACATAAGTTTCCACCTCGTGTAATCATCAAGTGTTGATTTAAGCAATGAGAGTAGAGAAGAGAGGGTTTATTTACCAGAAGATGGTGAGAAAGAGAGTGAGGATTATGTAAGCGAGCTTGAAGAGTCGTTTCTTCTTTTCCCAATCGAGCAAGTTGAAGATCTCTGTGACGTCTATCAAATGCTGTTTCCTCGAGTAACTTAACAAAAAAAAGAAAAGAATGATATAATCATCATCAAAACCAGTTTGACAGTGGATGTTAAACTTGCTCCAGAATTGGTATTGAAAAAAGAGAGACTCACAGATGGAAGTTGTAGTAGAGGTAAGGAACACAAAGGAGTGACATGAACCAATGACCCGTAAAGAGGTAGAATACGCATAAAAATCCTTGAAGGATGGATTCTGGTAATACCACAAAGTTTATTCTTGATGCAGAGTCGTAAGGGTTGATATAATCAAACTCGAGATCAGCTAAGCTAATAAGCTGCAAAAAGAAGAAGACTATTTATATAAACACAGTCACTTTCTCTACAAATCATGCATAATGTGTACTTCTTCAGCATATCACAAGCAAAGCCACAAGAACAGAGACCTATGCTCAAGATTCTCCTATACGATATCCGGTTTCTTATCAATCTCATTACACATAATCATGCTCATACACTCATAACACTATAGATCAACTCAATTTTTTTTACCAAATCAGAGCTCATTAATCAAGAAACATTATGAAAAATACCCATGAACACACTCCTACACATTCACAAAGACTTGCTGGATTGATGATATAGATTGAGAAAATAGCATCTAAAGATTCAGTTCACAAATATTAAGAACCAGGCAAAGAAACCCTAAAGTTAGAAACTTTATCACATTCCCAAAACTCCATACCAACTCTTACAAACGATTTATGATTGAAAGAACATAAAACCCCTAAACTTAGTTCAATTCAGTGCTTTGATTAAGCCTAAGCAGAGATTAATTCAAATAAAACAAGTAAGAAGACTCGATGGAATCAAAGTTTACAACTTTTAGGGATTTTGTTTTTGGGGACCAAAGTTGGAATCAGATCAAACCTGATAGACGATGAGTCCGACAAGAGTGATAAGGATAAAAAAAGAAATAATCCATGTCAAGACCTCTCCCATCCTTCCTCCTTCCTCCTCCTGGCTCCGACAACAATTACCTCGGGATTGATTTCGTAGTGTTCTTTCTTTCGGCTTTCTAAGCTTCTGGGTCTCAAAGATCGAATGAGGAAACAGAGACAAGTTTATGGTCGGAGGATCAAGTCAGTTCTGTTCTGTATCAATCTCTGTGTCCGATATATTCTTCTGATCGGAGGATCGATTGGGTTTTTGACCTTTTTTGTTTTGTTGAACCGATAAATTCAATTCCCGGTTCTATATTATTGTACTGGGTTTTTTAAGCCCATGGGTCAATAAATTAAGCCCAATAAAAAAGACTGTAGAGGTTTGTATGGATACAAAAATTACTTCTTCTTTTTTTCATCTTTTAAATTTTACTGAATGTGGAACCCAGAGAACTCCTTCAATCATGTTGATTGATAAAATGTATGTTTTTTTTCCTTCTCTAAACAAATTTTTATTTTAGTTATGTCTCATTTCATGTTTCTAATAATTGGCCTAATTGTTGACCCCAAAAATAAATAAAGAAAGTATTGGCCTAATTTTACTACCACTTTTAAAAGTTGTTTTAGTTTAACTTACTCTACTTTTATAAAAATGGAAAGAGAATGTGAAGTTTACTAGTTTGGTAGTTAAACCTTTCTCACACCATTTTCCTAACAATTCTTTTATAGGATTTGGAATATAGTTTTTTGCCGCAAATTACTAGATTTTCTATATATTTTTAAGTAGTCTATAGTATTATTATTACTGGTTATTTTTCTAAATCTCTATTACTAATAAATTTAGTTTATCTATGATATATTCGATTATGATGAGACCGCTCAAAAAACAAAAATTTCAAGATGTAGTTCTTCCCGCATTATTTGAATCCACGACAATCGATTTTGTATATACAATATACTCCATAATGACAAGTTTTCTCCGCAACACATGATAGACAATTTTTTATCGATACTTTAAAATTTTCGAAAAAATGTACTTTTCACCTACATTCTTAAAACAGAAGTGTTAGTAAAATTCTGGTATATAATTAAAAAAAAAAATCATACAAAAACAATGTCATTTCTTTTGTTTGAAAATCATAATCATCAATCTCATTGCTCACGAGTCATTCCCATTCATCATGTATAATCTGAAACAGAGTTTGTTTAATCATTTTAACTACTCCATAGAAAAAAAAATGTAATAATAAAACACAAAAAGTGCTTACTTACTTCTTTTGCAACTTATCTGGATTCTGAAAAAACCATTAAATAAAAAATGCAACAGGTAGAATGATACTATTTATTTGCCGTCGAAAACAATGAAACTATCCAAAGTTGATAATAACAATAATTTATTCCAAACATGTTCTTTTGTGACTTTATATTTTTATTATTATACTATATAAATTAGATATTCATCTTTTGGTTGTTTGTTGTATTGATCAGCTCTACACAAACACACACACAAACGTAGTAGTGGAGTGGTTGGCATAGAGAATTCCTAATACAAACAAGCTTGTAAATGAAGCAAATTAATTTGTCATCGTAATACTTTATTCTCGTACTGTATAAATTACACCTTTTATGTTTTATAATAGTTTTTTATTATTATACTGCTTTTACTGTAATCATCATTTAGATACAATCAAACAAAATTTATCGTGAAATACATGTATGCCGACATTCACAAAGTAAATTACATTGCTATCTTTCACTTAAGCTAGCTAGTAGTATAGTTTCAAGGTGGTCATACGATGTTTGAAAGATCTAGCTCGGTTTCAGATTTCTTGCGTAAAAGTTTATATTAGCTAGTTATTGGTCGTATCAAAGTATTTTATAATTTGTTTTTCATCATTTTCATCGAAAATTATTCATTAAAGATTAGATATACAACATAAACATTATCGTTTCATTTTGTTCTCACAGTATCTTAGCTTGATTAAATAGATGAACCAAAATTTTGGTTAAAAAACTATCTTATGCTTGCATGTTTTTAATATTTCTTGCCATGAAACCATATATATTCGTTTCAATTATTATTAAGTTTGTATTAATCTAAGTTATCTTTTGTTTTAATCTAAGTTATCTTTTGTTTTGCTAAACTTTATGAAATAGTCTCATGTACGTAAAATTTATGAAATTATTCAGTTACTTCGTATATAATACCAGTAGTAGTAAACTAGTAAGTAGTATTTAGTTTAGTAACCATAGTTTTGTTAAAGTGGGAATAATTTTATGGGGACAAAAAAAAAAAAGGTTTTAATTTTGGTTTTGGGTATACAATGTAAAACTACCCCATGCCTTTGATGTGACAATTGTAAGGACAAAATCATGCGAGTTACGAGAGTCAAATTTAGTTAGTGTTTCTTGTCTAACTTTTTACTCTCTTTCTCTCTTTTTCTTCTTTTTTTGCATTTTTTATGTTAATCCTTCTTTGTTTGTTTGTTAGCCAGCTAAACCTTCGTTACTTAATTACGTTATTAGAAGTTTGAGAAATCGTGTTGTGGCACAAACTGATTTGGCCCGTGCTGCGGGGGGTAATTGGACTTCTCTCTCACGTGAGACAAATCTTCACCTTTTTGTTTTGTTTTCTATTCTATTCTTATTAGCAATAGAGAAAGAACGAAAGATGTGACTCTATACACGAAAATAATGAACATAGTTCACATCTGATGAGAAGAGAATGCAAGAAATTTTTGAGAAACAGGGGATATAATGTGTTGTCAAAACATCTTCTATAGTGGATTTGAGATTCAAACTTAAGCTGAGACATATTTCATTTAATAATATCGAAAGGTGTCGAATTTCGAAAATATATATAGAGTCTCTTGTATTTTGTTTCCTAACAAGTTTAATTATATGAATGTGGCAAAGCATATATATATTTAGGAATCGGAACATGACATCTTAAAATCGCTAAAATGTTTTTCTAGCAAAATAAAACAAATCACTACAAATGTAATGTTTAGAATATTGTCGATAAGACAAGAACTATAGTTTTGAATGTATTTTTTTCTATCAAAAACATTTGTTAAATAAATGTTATATTTATAACATTATATATAACCAATAAAGAAAATGAATTAGTTGAATAAAATAAAAAAAATTAGTCCAAATGATTGGTTAAATTAAATACAATTTCAATGTTTTAAGATAACCTAAAAAGATACAACTCTTAACAAACAACCTCCGGATTCTTGCGGATCATTCTCAAGAATTCAAGATTATAAAATTTTGTGGCTGGTATATTTATTGTAGTACGATCTTTTTTTATTGAGAATTTTTGAGAAATACCCCTTTTGGTGTACCCCTTTTTAAAAATACCCTTCTTTTCTATCCATTTTCAAAAATACCCCTTTTCAAATATGAAAAATTATAAACTTTTATATGGTTGATAAGGTACATCAAGATCATCTTTACTACTGCGTGACTAAATCCAAATATTTATAAGGTTTTAAAAGGTTCTAAACGGCATTTATAAGGTTTTATAAGGTTTTATAAGGTTTTTAAAAGGTTTACAAAGTTTTTATAAGGTTTTTAAATGATTTTAAAAGGTTTTAAAATGTATTTATGAAATATATATTTATAAATTTACACACATATAAAGATAGTTTGTGTCTATAAATATAAGTTTATACATATTTTTTTGATAAATTTTAAATTTTATAGTGACTTTTTGATAAAATTATAAAGAGGGGTATTTTTAAAAGGAAAAAAGATACCTACATACATGAAGTATGCTACAATACATGGTCACACATCCGAAGTTTAAAAATGTATCTCCAACTAAACAAACTATATGTATTGCATGCCCACATATATGAACTATATTTAGTCATGTCGCCAACATCACGAACATTTTTCCAGTACACTTTTGGCCGGAATCCGGCGTTGACCCGTTTGACCGGCATTGACCAACATAAATATTCAAAAATTTTAGGTTTTTATTATTTAAAAAATATGTTTTTGAATCATTTATAATATTGTATAATTAAGAAAATATATACAATTTTTAATATAAAAATATTTTGTATATATATATTCAATGCATTGATTTTTATAATTAGTTATTTTTGATAATTCAAAGCTAAACTAAAAAAAAAAGCAATTAGGAAAAATAATAATAAACAGAAAATTTTCCTATTTTAAAAAATATTCGGACATGAGTATCATTTGTTTTAATATTTGAATATTTAATATATAATATGTGAATTTTAAATATTAAAGCATTAGAATCAAACCAATTATGTGTGAGTTTTATTCTACTAGTTATAAAAATTGTTAGATCTTCTATCTTATAAATATTTAAAAGAAACATTGTGATTTTTTATTATTTTAAGTTTTATTTTTTATTATTATTTTACCTAATTGGTTTTTTATTTTAGTTTAGTTTTGAAATTATCGAAACTAACTAATTATAAAAATCAATGCATTGAATATATATACAAAATATTTTTATATTGAATATTGTATATATATATTTTAATTTACAATATTATAAATGATTCAATAACATAATTTCTAAATATTAAAAAACTAATTTTTTTTTTGAATATTTATGTTGGTCAACGCCGGTAAAACTGGTCAACGCCAGATTCCGGCGAAAAGTGTATCGAAAAAAATGTTCGTGATGTTGGCGACATGACTACATATAGTTCGTAAATGTGGGCATGCAATACATATAGTTTGTGTAGTTAGAAATACATTTTTAAACTTCGGATGTGTGGCCATGTATTGTAGCATACTTCATGTAGTTAGGTATCTTTTTTCCTTTTTAAAAAGTGTTATTGGAAAAGGGGTATTTTTGAAATTGCTCCTTTTTTTTTTAATTTTCTTACAAAAGATTATGGTATAATCATAAGTACATAATACGATCGTACACAAGAAGGTGGGAGACAGTTGTGACGTGTGGCTATATTGACATTAAGAGATCGATTGACCAATTAAATCTTGACTCCTACTAATCTCCACTTGTATACACTTTAATTATTGTTTTATTTTATGTATTTCTTTTCTTCTTCTTTATTTCATTTCTCCTATATGTTTTATACTATCCTTCTATAAAGAGATTAATCTGTTTAAAATTTTTTGGGTTTGATCAAGTTGAATAGAATTTACGGGTCTACAAAAGTTGGAAGTATATATATATAGAGATGATCAAGTAGAATAGACCGATGATCTCCACTAAT